ACACATTAAAAACATCCTGAATAATAGTTAAGATGAATATTTATTGCCATAAAATACGGCATCATTAACTGAAAAAAGCAGATTACAAACCAAACTACAGAAAATATTCTCATTTTAGTAGTGACAACATAGATAAGTACATTTATGTACCAAAAAAAATCTGGGGCACCTGGGTGGCTCAGTCAGTTAAGCGTCTGCCTTCGGCTTGGGTCATTATCTCAGGGTCCTGGTATGGAGTCCCACATCAGGCTCTCTGCTCAACGGGGAGTTTGTTTCTCCCTTTCACTCTCCCTTTGTGCACACTCTCTCTCTTTCTCAAATAAATAAATATCTTTAAAAAAAAGAAAAGAAAAAAATCTGGAAAGTTACACACTGAGTTGTTAAATAGTAGTAATCTCTGGCTGATGGAAATGAGGCGATTTTTGTTTTCTTATATTTTGCTTTTTTATATGTACCAGTTCCCACAATGCACATAAAAATTTCCTTGTAAAACTGTAATAATTAAATAAAAAAGTACACATATCCTTTAACAGAATTACTGGGGATCTAGAGAGAAAAAGAACTAATATTAGTAGAATGCTTATATGTATTAGCATGCTACATTCTGGGGATTGCACAATTAGTAATATAAGGTCAGGTTTAGAGAAGTTAAGCAACACACTCATGGTTATTCAGTAAAAAAATAATAGAATAGGATTCAAACTCAGGTTTTTGTGATTCTAAAATATTTATTCCATTTTATCTTGATGGACCAGAACCAAGAACCCTCTATGAAACTCTTAAGTAATCAAAATTTCTGCTGTCCAACCAGATTATTCCATGCTATGAATTGCCATGATCACTACTATAGGGCCTGTTTCAAGATGTTCTTCATCCATCAACCTAATCCTTATTATGTTTGCAAATGTTCTGGTCAACTAATCTGATAAAATAATTGATGCCAAGAAATTATTCTATTACTCATTGCTCTGGATTTCCCAGTGCCATGTATGTGTAGCCTATCGTGCTAAGTGTTGGGACCACAGAGTTCACATTCAATTGGGGGGGTGGGTAGCAAGATGCTCATATAGTTAACTGCATTACAATCCGATACATGCTATATTAAGATAATAACAAAAACATTCACTATGGAAGCATGAGGAAGTTAAATGTATACTACCCTGGCATGTTATAGAGTTAAGAAGAAAAAAAAAAAGGTGAGGGAGGGCCTATGAAGCAAAGACCATTGCCTGTGCAAAAAAACATCTAGCAGTTAAAGACCCCTTCTTCCTAAAGATTAGCCTGTTTCATCACAACCTCCTGTAACCCCATTGCCCTTTTGTTGATGCCACACTTCAGTGGTAGGTGTCTCTGGGTTTGCAGCAGGCCAATAGTAGGAAATCGTTTTAGGCAGCAATTTCAGTAGATCTTAAAATAACATCTCTTAAAGCAAACACCTGTGGCCTATGCAGCCTATCTTTCACATTAGCACATGTCGTTCTCACTGAACAGCATCCCTGAGCAGTTCACATAATGACATGTTTAATGTAGCCGGGTTACCTAAGACTTGCAGAGATTAGGAAGCTGTCAGTAAAACAGCTTTGTGAATTACTTTCTAAAATCACTCTAAATTAGTAATTAATGGAAAAATTTTGACAACTTGTTCAACACTGAGTTCAGCTGGAAAAATAATCAACCTCTGGAGAATCCAATTTTGTTTATCATTAATGCTAGAGTATATTTAACAGATGAATTTTTTCAAGAGTACTCAATTTATTTCACTGGATATCCTTGATTAGTCATTTCTTACTCCTCTTCCTCAAAAAAAAAATTAGAAATTAACTCATCCAAAGAGTAAAGGGGAAGAACATAAATTTTCACGTCAGAAATATCTTTAGGGAGGTATATGTGAATATGTAGTTAGATAAATAGAACTAACATTTTTTTAAGATTTTATTTATTTATGAGAGAGAGAGAGAAAGCAAAAGAAAGCACACACAAGCAGGGGGAGTGGCAGGCAGAGGGAGAAGCAGCTTCCACGCTGAGCAAGGAAACCAATGCGGGACTCCATCCCAGGACCCTGGGATCATGACCTGAGCTGAAGGCAGATGCTTAACTGACTGAGCCATCCAGGCATCCCTGGAACTAACATTTTTAATGAATAGTTAAAAGAATCTATAATGCAAAGGTTTTAGGCAACCATAATAGGTAACTTGTACATAAAAATATGTATCCCCTTGTGTATTTTTAAGTGAACTACCTTTATGGGTTTCCAGGAGTGTTACTTTTTCAATTATTTCATTCACAAGCTACATAATTAATTGTACTTCTGTAGATCATTTTGTCCCTGAAGTAGGAAATATTTCAAAATAATTAAACTTCTACATAATATAAATACATACATAATAAAACTATTTAGTGTTTTTAAAAGACAAGCCATGTGATTCAGCATCAAAAATATATACCCTAACTTATGAGAAAGTTAAGAGTGAGTCAGTGATGAAGTTAAGGGGTAAGCCTAAGAACAAATCAGAGATATTCCTTCTAATTCTTCTTTAAAACCCCACCTCATGTAAAATTGTCATTTCCTCTGAAGATGTTCTTCCAATGTCCCCAAATAATGACCAAATACTATAAAAATACCCTATATCCCGGGGCACCTGGGTGGCTCAGTTGGTTAAGCGACTGCCTTCGGCTCAGGTCATGGTCCCGGGGTCCTGGGATCGAGCCCCGCATCGGGCTCCCTACTCAGCGGGAGGCCTGCTTCTCCCTCTCCCACTCCTTCTGCTTGTGTTCCCTCTCTCGCTATCTCTCTCTCTATTAAATAAATAAAATCTTTAAAAAAAAAATACCCTATATCCCACAACAAGACAGGCAGTGAATACTTTGGTGAAGTTCTTAAGTAATATTTAAAGAGGTTTTTAGCAAATAACTATTTTTAGGTAAGAAGACAAACTCCTACAAGAAAAAAAAGGTCTTTCAAAACTAATTTCTGAAAAAAACATAAAATATTTTAAAGAAACCTTCAAATCTAAGTATTTGCAGGTGAAAAATGGATAAGCCCCAGAGCCTGACTGGGAAATGAATTAGGGCAAAGAACAAAGCGGGGAAAACAAAACAGGATCCCATACTATTTAAAAGTAAACTTTTATTTATGTGTTTATGCATTTATTTTCATAGCTTTGAACTTTAAGTTTCCAGAGGCAAATACATTCATTCAGTAAATATTTACTTATTGCCTATGATTTGCTAGGCATTAGTGGAGAAATGAGAGAATACAAAGATGATAATTATATTCTCTACTCTCCAGTTATGACTGAGTTGGAGACACATACATGCACACAAATACAATTTACTACTATGTAACAACAACTATATAAACCTGCTAAAACAATCTCTGTAAACAAAAGCTTATTTTTTCTGTATTTCTTAATTCATTTTTAGTACTGTTGGTTCAGATTTGCAACTGAACAGCATGTAGTGAATGGACACTAAGGCAGCACCTGAGTGCCAAAATATTTAAGGAAAAACAGATATGTCACAATACTAATCCAAGGTCAGCATAATCTGGCCATTTTTGAGGAAGGGTCAGTCTCCCTTGTCATTTCCAATATTTTCATATATGGAGAAATACAATGTTTTCTTAACAATCCATGATTTGTATTTATCTGAGCCCCAAAATGCTCTTCAACCTAATCCCATTTATTTTAATCTCCAGACCATCTTCTTGAAACAAAATTCCAGTGCCCCTGATAATTGCATATTATTACACTGAGGGCTATAACATCAGTACTTTTTAACAACATATTTATTCTACTTTAGGTAAGAATCTTTGAAATTCACAAAATAAAATCTTACTAATTTGGACTTTACAAATTAAGCATCATTTTCAGGAGTAGGGACTGGGATTATTTTTGTCCTTTGCAGTTTTTTTCTTGTGACTTAACTGTTAAGCAGAATTAGAAAATTTAAAGTATGCTGAAATATAATATTTGGTATTAAAAACAGCAACAGCAAAATATCCAGTCTATATCCTGGATCACTATACATTCTGCCCTGCCTGCCATACATTCTGCATTTTTATACTTAGAATCCCTGTTTTGAAATATGGCACTGAAATTCTGTGCAAGTTCCATAAACAACAAACATTCAAATATGTTCACAAATTTTGATAGTACTAAGGCAAGAAGTGAAAAATACACATTCATTTATTTATTTAACAGCAGGTCATTAAAACTTAAATAAGGACTGAAGGAGACAAAGATCAATTAGGTTTTCAGATTAATTCTGAACATTCAACCAACAGAACCCTTGCATTCCTAAAGTGTTCTGACAAATTGGAATTTTGGTACAAGATTCTATGACAACTTCTTTTTCAAAGAGAAATACTTTTTAAAAAAGTATGTTTAGCACCAACAACTTAGAAACTATAAATATCTAAGATTACAATTTGCAAATGGAATGTTTCTAAATTTGGTAATCTAGAACTTGGAATGTATTTTCCAGTTGGAACAATGGTCTATAAAACTATGGCTAACTTTCCAGAACAGAGGTACAAACCCTGTTTTTAAGCATGATTTTAATATGCCATCTACCTGCAATGAAAATAACTAAACACAATATTATTGCAATACTGGTAACGAAAAAAACAGGATAAAGAAAATATACAAAATTCTAAAACCATGACTGCATAGAGTTAAAAAGAGAATATATAACTCAAAGAAGACAAGTAAGAGTTAGCTAAAACTCTTTGTAATATGAATTCAAAAGATGGTTTGGAGGGACACCTGGGTGGCTCAGTTGGTTAAGCGGCTGCCTTATACTCAGGTCATGATCCCAGGGTCCTGGGATCCATTCCAGCATCAGGGCTCCTTGCTCAGCGGGGAGCCTGCTTCTTCCTCTGTCTGCCGCTCCCCCTGCTTGTGCTCTCTGTCTCTCTCTCTCTAAAACAAACAAACAAACAAAATGGCTTGGTGAGGTGTTAAAATATTAAAGCCAAGTTTTGATTGCCTGAAGGATACCTCTTTCTTCTTTCTTTCTCTCTCTCTCTCACATACACTATAGACAGGTAAGTTGGGCACTTTCCACCTGGAAGACAAGCGTCACACTGAGTTAAAAAGCAGAAACACAGCGTGAGGAAGGAAAGTGAGAGGGGACTGGAAGGTAAATCTGGGCACTTTGAGAACACAGGAGCCATCCTTAGCTCCAGAGGCCTGCGTAGTTCCCATGGAGGCCTGAAGGGAGAGGTCCCCCAGCCACGAAGAGCTTCATCTCAGGCCAGTTGTAGCAGTGGGTGTAGAGAGCGTTGGGGAACTCGCCGATCCCACCGAAGTAGTTCACCCACAGGTCATCGTGGTTGAGCCAGCCCCTGCCACAGGTGAGTTTGAGCTTCTTTCCTGAGGGTCCAGGAGAGGAGTCCGGGCTGGCTGAGGCCCTCTCCTCCAGGAACTTCTGGGCGCGGATGTCATAGAAGAGCAGGGAGCCATGGCCCGTGCCCACGGTGATGATATGCTGGTAGAAACTCAGCGAGCGCACACCCGTGCCGCCCTCTCGGGAGCACAGGGGCCGGATATTCTGCTGACGTTGGCGCGGATCTAAGAAGGAGACATGGGACTGGGAGCCCACCGCGTACAGGGACAACTCATCACAGTAGGTCAGGCACACGTTCTCTCGGCAGTAGGGCAGCCTGATGGAGAGCAGCCTGGACAGAGTGCTCCGGGCTTTCCACAGGTGGAAGTAGCCGTCCAGGGACACCGCTCCCAGCTCCTGGTTCTTGCCGCTGAAGGCCAGAGCCCGCACCTTGCGGTTACTGGGGCTGGTGCTAGACCTGGGGATGGTCTCCATGTCCCTCGGACGGATGTGGGCGTACACAGGGAGACCCGCGTCATTGTGCCAGGCGATGCTGCCGCTGAACATGTCGGGATCCATCCGCCACAGCGCCACTGTGCCGTCGCGGGAACCGCTCACAGCCACTGTGTCACTCATCCAGGCGATGGTGAAGATCCAGTCCTTGTGGCCATGGCGGTCGCCCAGGCACACGGGGTCCAGGGTGGGCAGCTGGTAGACGGCCAGGCTGTTGGGGTTCTCACCCCCAGTGGCCAGAAGGGTCTTGGAGGGATTCAGCTCGATGGCGTGGATGCCGCAAGTCGGCTGGGCCCGGGCCAACCAGGGCCCCCGGTCGCGCATCAGGGGGATGCGCGTGATCTGGCCCGAGTGCACATCCACCACGAAGAGGGTGTTACACTTGGTGCCACACACCACCTGCCTGGCGTTCAGCCACTGCGACGCGAACACCTTGTTGAGGGTGCCCAGGGCCAGCTCGCGCTCCCTCAACAGCTCGGGCAGCTTCTGCACCGCATAGCCCCGCAGCTCGCCCTCGGAGCCCGAGAGCCCGGAGCCGCCCCACGCGCCCACCTCGCGGCCCTTCAGGTAGTGCACCAGCGAGCGCCGCGTCGCCGGCCGCTTCTGTTTCTTGGGCAGCAGCGGCCCCTCTGCGTCCGCCGCCGCCAAGCCCTGAAACGACGAGCTCGCGGCGCCCGCCTCGATCGCCGGCGCTTTCCGCTTCCTGCTACCTGTTTGCTGTGGGGCCATGGTCGGCGGCGGGCGCGGCGGCGCTTGGCACCCGTGTTGGCCCTGACGGCAGCGGGAACCGCGGGCTCTCAGGGGCCAGGAGGCGGGCGTGGAGCCTACCAAGAAGGGACGCGGCGGCGGCGAAGAAGGCGAGGGCAGCAGGCGAAGGGAAGTGGAACGGGGTCGTAGTCGTAGTGCGGGGGCAGAGGCAGGGCCAAAGCTAAGTGAGCTCAGGGCCAGGACTAAGCTGGGGGCCCCAGGGTGAGGGGGCGGAGGCAGCGGAAGGCGTGGGCAAGAAGCAAGCAAGCGCGGTGGGAGGGAGCGCTCGCCAAGCTGGGGAGGTGGGATGGACCACTGGGGCCGGGATAAACGGAGGGCCTGCGCTCCAGGATCCCCAAGCTAGCCATGTGCTCCTGTCCTGGACTTCCACTAAGTGACACAGAATATTTCGCCGCTCTCAGTACAGCGGCCAACCAGCCTTCTTAAAATCCCTACTTAAAATATGAAATCTAAAATATAGTCTACCACGAGGCTAGAAAGAACCAGGACAGTTGTCTGCACGAAGAAACAAATGTGCACTTGCTGCAATCCTGGGAGACACTTGGCGAGATACGACATTGAATTTAGTGGGGGAAAGGGAGTGTTTGGCAGCTACAGGGGGACCCTCCTCTTAGGTTCGTTCTGCAGCCGCTCTTCTTTCAGCCTCTCTGCAGTTATCTTAAACAGTTGTCACTATATATATTTACCAAAAAATTGAAGTCTTTGAGCTCCCGCACTGCAGTGCCTTGAGGGGTGCATTCCAAATGCAGGCTCTGGGGGCCCGACTTTCTGGCGGGCGTGATGGCGGGGACCCCTTAGGCATAGCGTTGGGAACATGACAGGCCATGCTGACAAGGGAGAAGTTCCTTGGAGGTTTTGGCTTCCATTGTACCCTAGAGCCCAAGGAGGTGGAAAGGAAGAGTCAAGGGGTAGAACACCTTCTTCCGTACTCCTTGGTTCTGTTCCCGCTCCTCAGTCCCTCAGGCTCAGGTGCCTGGGCATAGTCCACTGGGACCTGAAGAGGAGTCCTGAGGGACGGGCAAGATTATCACAGAGATGGAGATAAAGAAATTTTGGAAGGAGGCAGCCACAGAGACACATTGATGAGAGAGTGTAAAGGTTCAGAGCACTGGCTTAGTCTCAGGAGTTGGAAGTTTCATACCCTGGTCTGTGGCTTCAGAACATTGAGAGCAGCCTGGTGGCAGGCTCTTACCCAGACAAACAGTTACACAGTGATACCTGGCTCTGTGAGGCTACTGGTTGATACCAACTTTGTACACACACCCCCTCTCCTGACAAAAAACATATATGATGGGTGCGTGGGAAGATGCATTTACTTTTCTGACAAATCAGGGAAACCCTTGGGAACAACTTCGTTGCTGCTTCCTCCCCGATCCCCCTGTCCTGTTTACTGACTTTTCTCCCTCCTTCCCTTGACTGTGTTTCCAATATCACTTCAATATTATTGCCCAACTTCCAAGTACAAACCCACCACTCCAGTCCAGGTGTTACATTCCAGTGCTCCCCAGCACTCTCCGGCATCCCAGTTCTGATTCCTCCCCATCTCATTCAGCCCATAGCAACCAAAGAGATTGCAACCGCTATAGGTAGTGAACAGGGAATTAGAGAGGGCTTCATGGAGGAGGCTACATTTTGTTTCCACAGGTAGGCATAGGGGAATGGACATTTCAGAAAGAAGCAACCATATATGACAAGGCATGGAGAATGTAGAGAAGAGGTTCACAAACTTTAGTGTACATTCAAATCACGGGGGCAACTTAATAAATATGCACATGCCTTGACCCTATCCTAAAAGATTTGATTCAGATGGTCTGTGAACCACTGTTTGAGAAAGTGGTCTAGACTGTTTTCACCCAGGTCAGGACAGGGTGTGTTACAGGTAGGAGATTAACATCTTCAGTATATTTCAGGGCTACCCTGAAAATAGACCCCTATCCCCTGGGCGATTATTGTGAAAGCCTTAGCAATTAAAGTGGCTATGATCAGTTTGAGGCCAAAGCAGAAGGTGGCCTACACAGAGAAATTTTACCTATTAAGTGTATAGAACTTATATTTTACTATCAACCTGTTGTACCTAGGATATGCTATTACATTAACAAGCATTGTTGAAGCAATTTAAAAATATCATCTTGTTTAATCCACTATTATAATAGTGGTAGATTTTGTAGATAAGGAAAAGGAGGCTTGCAGGGGTTATGATTTAGTAAGTCAATGAATTAGTAAGTGATGGATGCAGGATTTTAACCCAAGTAGTCCGAATCCATATTCCATGTTCTTAATCACTTCTCAAGAGATATGTCAGGGGTTGAATGAAAGGTTCTGCTAGTGACAGGAATTTTTAAAAAGATCTTTACACCACCTAAAGTGGTAAAATATGGCTGTGGACATCTGTGGAAGTTGGACTCCACAGGTAAAGACCCTAAGAGCAGCTGTGAGAGATTTTGGGATTCAACCTGTGATCACTGGCAAGGCTTGCTGAAAGGGGAAACTCTGTAGCTCTTCTGACACAGTAGCCAGACTAGCAAGGACCAATTTAGGTCATCCTGATGTCATTCTGTAATAGAATGAACAATGGGAGTATCCACAGCAAACAGAAAGAACTAAGGACTATACCCATTTTTTTTTCCCCTGGGACCAAGTAAGCATCAAAATCTAGCAATATCCCATAAAAAGGATAACCCTTGAAATTACTGATATTAGACTTTCAGCAATTTAGACTCATATACAAACTGGTTTAGAAAAAAAAAAGAAATGTGCTGTATCTTCTTCCCATGTTTCATGAAAGAAGATAATACCCATTACCCAGGATTCACAAGAACAAGGAAAGGGTTTTTGTTATGCTCTGGGGGGTATGGTACCACAGATAGAGAGGCAACCTCTTAACACACCTAGTATCATTCCCCAAGTCATAATGCAATGCCCTTATGTCTGCAGTAATGGAGGATGGGTGTTATAACTGTCCAAAATATCACAGAAATACAGGAAGGGAGACTTCCAGTTTTGGAAAAGATAGAACATCCCTATTCCTTCCAGGTCCTCACTCTTATAACTAAAACAAACAAACAAACGAGCAAACAAAAAAAAACCTGGGGGCACCTGGGTGGCTCATTTGGTTAAGTGTCTAACTCTTGATTTTGTCTCTGCTCATGATCTCAGGGTTGTAAGATCGAGCCCCATGTTGGCTCTGTGCTGGACACAGAGCCTGCTTAAGATTCTCTCACTCCCTCTCCCTCTGCTTCACCCTTCCCCCCTCCCTTTTTAAAAATAAATTAAAATGTGAAAATATACTTACCATACAACCACACAATTGCACTCCTGGGCATTTGTCCTAGAGAAATTAAAACATATGTTCATACAAAATCCTGTACATGGCTATTTATTACAGCTTAATTTGCAATGGCCAAAATCTGGAAACAATCTAGATGTCCTTCAACAGATGAATAGTTAAACTGTGGTACATCCATACCACGGACAGTACTCAACAATAAAAAGGGAACACACTATTGATACATGCTCCAAATTGAATGAGTCTTGAGGGAATTATATTGAACGTAAAAAGCCAATATCAAAAGGCTACCTAGGATATACTTCCATTTATATAACATTTTTGAAATGACATAGACTAATGATTGACAGGTGTTAAATATGGGAAGAAGAGTAGGAGGAAAGTGGGTGTGGCAATAAAAGGGAAACAGTAGGTATCACTGTAGTGATGGAAATTTTCTGTATCTGGACTTCATCAATGCCAATATTTTATTCTTGATATTTTACTACAGTTGTTTTGTTGTTGTTGTTGTTATTGGAGGAAACTGGGTAAAGTGTACACTGGATCTCTCTGCATTATTTTTTACCATTGCATGTGAATCTATAATTATCTCAAAATAAAAAATTAATCTAAAAATCATTAAGAAAGAAACCATGAAACATATATAGACATTGAAAAGTTGTCAAGATAGAATATTTAAAAGAGAAAAAACCATAAGTATTTTTTGTCTATAGGTTTAACATTAACATTGGACTCTGCCTCTAATTGTGAGGCCTTGCCTTTTGACTTGGCAGAAGCCATTAGGACATTTGAAGGTTAGAGAGAGGAAAAATGTAGTGAGGTGCCACTCTCCTTGGCATCACTCCCTCCACCATACACAACTGCCAGGCACATAATAGAGCTGAGTAGAAAGAGCACATTGAGCATTACAGCCACCCTATAAGTATACCTAAGGAAGCTGCAATGTAATAATCTCAGTGATGTGCTAGAATCATGATTCTTTAGGCAGAGCATGATCAGACACATTTCTAACCATGTAGGTTAAATGGTTGAGGTTAATATATTGTCTGGCTGCCTTTTATTAAGTACAAATGAGGCATTTAAAAGTGTCCTCACAATCTCATAGAACATACAAGAATAGGCAGAAGACTCTATTTCACAAATTAAAAAAGAAAAAATTCCAAGCAGGTACACTTGATTCTACTATACCCATTTCCTTTAAACATTCTTGAGAACAAAAAAGAGATTTAATAAATTAATATAATGCAGATGTATACCAGTATTCTAACATGGAATACCTAGAATATATTTGTGTATTGTGGAGAAAGGGAGATGATATGCGGGAAGGAGAGAAAGAGATAGGGATGAGGCAAGCAAAAAGGGAAAAAAATTAAAATACCTTCCAAAATTCAGTGAATATGACATAATTACATGTTTACATTGATTTGAAATTTTATATATGTATTTATGTATGTATATATTTTTTTAAATAAAGTAATATACAAATTAAATATCTAATATGTTCTTTGGTACTTTAGTGGATTGTTTTGTATTCACTGCTTTGGAGATGTGGTCTAGAGGACTGTTGTTTATTGAGTGCTTATTAATAAGACAAGTACTATGCTAAGTGATTTACGTAAATTATTTTATTTAATACCTACCACAACAACTGGAAGCAAGTATTATTTCTCCCATTGAACAT